ATCATATTTTTAGTTTGCCAAGTTGAAGATTTTTCAATAAAAAATCGTATATCTCGTAAGATAGTATGTGTTGTTGCAGAATCAATGAGCGCATCATTTGATTCATCATTAGAAGTTTTGACATTCATATAAGCTTCTAAGTCATCAACACCAATTGAATCCATTGACGCATCCATCGTATGAACTTCATGAGCCTCAACTCATAGTTTCTTATTTTCTTAGAACATATTAATTAAATATTTTGAAGTATGGCATGTGTGTGCTAAATGTTCAATTATTCTACATATATGGCAAGAACGCATCTTTGATTTTTATTTTTTACTATAATTAATAGTAGAACGTTTATTCTTTTCATATAGGTAGAAATGATCATAACTATGACTACCCTAATACTTATGAGCACGTTTTTTATGTTTATATAATTTTTTCTTAGACTTTGAAATATTAAGTGCATGAGATTCTGTAACTATGGTTCCAATAGGATGAACTTCTGCATTGTGCAAGAGTAGCTCATTTTGCTTCTCTCCAAGGAGTAGATAGGACATGAGATTATAATGACTCTGAAATTTCATGTTCTTGTATTGTTGTGCAAGCACATTAGATATAAGAGGAAATGTAGAGAAAGTTTTTTCAATCATTTCTTCTTCAGAGATGCTTTCTCCACATAATCATAATTGTGAGACAATACTATATATTTCACTATTGAAAGCATTTAAATTTAGAAAATCCAAGATACATAAATGTGTCCAATTATGACGTGCACGTGGAAAGAAAATGGTCTTTTGATGATCAAACTTGGATTTAAGATTCTTCCAAAGTTTTGTAAGATCTTTCATTTTCAAATAATAATGTTGTAATGCAAGTACAAGATGACGACAAAGGAAAAGAAGTACTTTTTAATGAATAGCAAGAAGAATAGAAATACTTATTATAGGAGATTCTTCAAACATAATGGCATCCGAGAGTTGTTCTACAAATAAATTTGCTTTTGCCATTTTCGTCCATAATAGATAATTATTTCTATCTTTAATCGATGGTGGAAATAAAAGAACTTAAAAATGTTAGGATGCACTGGTAATAGTTGGAACCATAGTAGAAGCAGTTGAAGATGTTGAAGCATTCATTATAAATAAATCTGTAAAGAAAATACAAGATCAAATAGAAAAGTTGAGTAAAATATACCTTAAAATATAAAGTCAAATAAAATGATAAACTTGAACTTGAAAATCAAAAATATTATTATTATTATCATTTTTTTAACAAGGTTATGGATTGTGGCAGTAAAGGAGTAGTAGGATGGCAATGACAAGCAACTGTGGCGGGCGGCAGCGGTAGGATGGCGACAATTGACAGCAAGCGTGGAGTATAATAGGGAAGCTCGGCTGGAGTAAGTATTTTAAGCAAGTAGGGTAGAAAGTAGAGCAAGTGTTCTAAGCAAGCAGCTAATGTGTGAGGGCCTAGCAAGAAGTGCAACAAGATCATGAATTAGACAGTGAACAAGAATAGCAACAGGTTTGAATAATCAAGACTAGAGCAAAAAAATTGTGATAGTGTGTAGAAGAGAGTTGTGCTGGTAACATATTGAGAATGTTTAGAAAGACACAAGAGTAGTAGTAAGTAATACATACACACACATACACAAGAGTAGTAGTAAATATTACATACACACAAAAGAGAGTTTCTAAGGAGCGAGATAGAGCTTCATCCAAAAAATCTATTGATCTGGTTGTGACTTGTATATAAGAAGAGAAGGGGAGATGATAAAAAGTTCCTCTCCACTACATTCCAAATATTGTAGCTATAGTATTATATTATAAATATTATGGAGATCGCCAGCTACATTTAATACTCTCAACAATAATACACCAATTGGTCTTTTAAGGATGAATGAAAGATAAAGATGGGCGGATTTGATATTATTTCTGTGGATGAATGTGCCACAGTCGGGTTTACTTGTGACCGAAGCATGTAGACAAAAAAAAGACTAGATTCCAATGGTAGACTCGTCGATCCCCCACCTGCCCCCTCTTGTCCTCACAAAAGAGGCCTTTGGCTTTTTCACTCCCTACTTTCGCCTTTTTCGTCATTACTGATATACCACTTGTGTGACTCCACTTGGGCGTCGCTGGAGCACCAAGCCCTTGACCTCCTTGTACGTATCTCCCTTTGTATTCAACTTCGTACGAAATGGTTTTCGTCTTGTATACGTACTTATATATATACGAACAACGCCCACCCACACTGTCTTCCTCTTCAGCTGAGAGGTTGAGCATATTCTTGAGAATATACACTGATGACATACTTTCCAACAATAGGAAATGAAAGCTGCGAATATTGCTGTAAATTCTGTTGTTGTTGTTTAAATGGTTTTATTGTTTACTACTCATAGCATTAACTTTGTGTGTGAAAAACAATTTGTAATCACATTTTAATTCTAATTTTGATAAGCTGAAATAAATCAAAATTTTAAAGTCTATCGGGCAAAACGAACAAATCAATCAGTATCAAATTAGCCACGCACCATGAAACGGAGAATTACGCTGCATTTTCTGAAAAAGTCATGCAAAAGTTAGAACAAACAGTATTAGTAGCTACAAAAAGCATTTACATGACTGTAATTCTAAGTTATTCGAACATCCTCCTAACATTGCATTTGTTACTTTCCTTACAATCATTCTAAAATTCTAAGCAACCATCACCATGTGATCTGTTTTAACACGAAAAATATGCTGAAACACCAACAATGTTGGTAACACTTGCAATTCATTATTGAGTATCCCTATTCATATTGTTGTATCTGAACCTTTTATTTATTTATTTTTTAAATCATTTTTCTCTTTTTCTTTTTCTGTAGAAGAGTACAATTTAGTCATGTTCAAGTTATTTCGTTTGGAGGAGCATTGACGTGCTGTGTGAACAGTAATAACAATTATGTAAGTTGTATGCCTGCACGTACTTTATTGAAGTTGTTATCACTGTTCATACAGTAAAGTACATACACACATATACATACATACATACATAAATAAATACATGAATCGGAGGGTGTGGAAGGGGAATGCATGCCCTAAATTCACGCCAGGCGGAGCTTGAGTAGAAGGCGAGAAAGTCATGACACGCGGCGATAGAAAAACCTGACGACGTCGGGAAGGACGGCTCCAAGTGGTGGATCGTCAGGCTTCGACGTCGACGTCCCGCGGGTTCGGCGTCCTTCATGGTCCCACCCTCCGGCACGTTTGGATCATTCCTGCTCCCACGCATCTAGGGTTTTCGGGGTTTTTGGTTACGCGAGCGTGATTGAGGTGAAAGGATCGGAGATTCTGGGGTTTAAGTACGGACACGAAGGAGCGAACGAAGGCAGGGGCAGGTGGAAAGACCAGTACTGGCCTAAGAGCCCAATCCAGAGTGCCATTTGTCTGGAAGCAGCATCGCTCGGGGAGCGATTAGCGGACTGGATGGATCTGTCCTTGCGGTTGTGAGATCGGGTGCCATGTACTGGGTATTTGGCGAGTGTCAGCGTCCTCGCTGCCGTTTCTGTGGCTTCGTCTCACATCAGGTGTTGAATTGTTTTTGGGGCGATCGCAATTTGAAAATGTGACTGGCTTGGCATTTCCATGGGGGTGTCAGTACTCAGTAAATCGATTTGAAATTGGTTAGACCATCGATTGGATTAGCACATGGCAAATTTTCTCAGATTTTCTGGATATCTTTGCGCTGCAGTTAGGTCATGATCTCAGTGCTTGTGCGAGACGCAATGCTCTGTTAAGATCAGATGGGAGCTAGTTTCAGATGGATCTCGTAGCAGGACGCCATCAGAGTGGCCGATCGCTATTATAATGGAATTGCAGTTGACACGGATTTCTTTTCTAACGATAATCGGACCGGAACCAACTTTCAAGTCACAACCCCTTCTGATCTAAAAAAGTCACACACATACACACACACACACACATATATATATATATATATATATATATATATTTTCATCCTTGTGATTGTGGTATAGACGTTTCTGACTGCAGTTCTATCGTTCACAAATGAAAAACATTATTCTTCTGCTGACTACACGTATAGAGTCGAGGACGCACACGGGGCATCGTTGTCGCATTCTTCAGTTATAATATCTCTGACTGTTTCATTTCTATTGTGTTCATATGAATATTCAGTAGCATTGGTTGTGAACATCCAAAGTGACCCGCATCCCACCTTTCACTGTGTCGAAACCGTAGTGAAATCGTAGTGCTGTATTTCAGAGGAATGTGGAGGTGGAGAATAGCTGTGGATAAATCAAACCTCGTTGGTTGATGATTTTTGGATTACACCTTGTTACTGGACACAATATTTGTCCATGTTGATTTACACATTGGTTTTTTTTTTTTTTTTTTTTTTTTTTTTGAAAGTCTCTTTTAAGTATAACTTTTTATTCATTTAGAGTTATCAGCTTGTTGAAGAAATAAGCATTTATGCGTTTTGTAGTCGTTCATCTGAAACAATATCAACCTAAGAAATCTATGTTAAGTTGTCTGAAAATCAACAATTCCTGCCAACAAGATTTACGATTGTGGTTACCATTGACACACTCCGAGAGGACTAGTGACATCATGCTTGTCCGGGAGAGAATTTATTCCTGGACTACGACTTACATAATCATCGGTTTACTTCATTCGTAACATTCTACAATAAGGAGGTTTTTAAGTGATTCTAAGATCGTTCCCTTTCAGACTGCCCGAATAAATATCGTCTCCAAGCAGTTGCCTTAACAAAACGGCATTAACTCGGAGCAACACTGGCAACAGGACAAAATCACAGAATCTGAACATAGCATGATACCTCCACCGACTACACAAAGATCGGCTTAAAGAGCAGTGAGATGTAACAGAAGCAAACGAACAGAGTGATCGATATAAACTAATAATGTATTGAATATAGCATGCAATTGAATGGATGACGTTACTTGGATGGATGACGAATAGACTTTGGACTCCCGCTCAAACCCCTTCCTCGCGAAAAACCGATTTGTCTCGCTGCTTATGGAAGCCGGATTTCGATGTTTAGCTTCATTGTTGTTGGAAACTATGCTTCAAAATTTATGTGCGGTCTACTAGTTCTGGGGTTAGAATTCAGCGTGATTTAGGTTTCCTTGCAGATGGTGTTGTTGCTATCAGCAGCATTGGTTTAATTTTTTTTCCCGAATTGTCATTGACAGCACGAGGTAAAAGTTTTTCCAAGTTCGAAGTTCGAAGTAGTAGAGGAGGCGGAGCATCCAATTCTTTCGGGTGGAAATTTTGGATTGAGAGGAATGTGATTTTTATTTTTGTCGAAATGGCGAATGCTGGAACGGTGGAGGGAGCGTGTTTGTGAAGCCAGGGGTAGTGAGTACTTCAGGGTCGGGCATGAGGTGATTGAAAGGAGAGACTTAAGGTACTTTCTGTTAGTGAGGAAGAAGCGTCTAGGTGTATCAGCGGTTTCGGTCTAAGGAGTGGAGGTTGCCATCGGAAAAGAGAGACGGTTGATCCAAACAGGGGAAAAAAGAAAAGAACAGAAGAGAAAAAAGATAAATCAATATGAAATTCAAGGCGTTTCTGACGGATCATGGTGTCACGCTTCTGGAACGGCGTAAGCCCTATCATTCTTTGTAATTTATTTATTTAGCTTCCTCTTCATTACTTTATTTTAGTTTTGTTGTTCTATACGTATGTATACACATACACAACTTGTGATTGTAGATGCTAATTATATGCTTGTGTTCTCGACACGTCCTCAGGCTTTCTACCAGCCTTTGAAAAGATTGGGAAAACGTGCCACATTTATCTAACGCCGGTCCATTTCATTCTTCTTCACAACGTTCTGAATTCTGATGGAGTGCAAGCGATTGCGCAATTTTCTAAGGTAGAATGTTTTCATTTTAAAAATTAAAAATTAAAATTTATATTTTCATTTTTCGTATTTATTCCTTTAATTTGAATTTGATTTTGGATCAGTGTTGATTAGTGCGCACTTTTTAAAGCTCTTGTTTCCCGTTTTCTGGTTTTCGATTGCAGAGTCGGTCACTGTCTTTAATTTTCTTGTGTTGACTACTTTTGCCTTGTTTAATTTTAGCTTATATATGAAGCTTTTGCAAGGATGCTCATTTCAGCAAGTCTGACCTCCTTAGTTTGCAGTTTGTAGAAGCAGTTGTAGGTAGAGTTATTATTATTATTATATTTAATTTTTTAATGCAGTAAGAGCTAATCAAGAAGATGGCAGGACGCAGTCTTTGACGACTACCGAATTTCAAGTCAGAATCAAAACCGGATTGCCTTCACCGTAGACCTTGCACTGCTGTTAAGAGCCCTGAAGAGCAGTGTAAGTATATATGGCGATAGATTGCAATTGAAACTCGTCAGGAAGCGTCCCAGCTTGTCTGAACGGCCAATGCCTTACTTGACTTTCGAAAGCAAGGTATGAATTATTCAACTTTTGAGACATTACATCCTCTGAGAAAATGAGAGTAACTTAGTGGACGTTTCCATACAGAACAACATCTGGCTATCGCCTATGTAGAAAGAACCTCTTATTTGCATGATTTGTATGTCGACTCAACCTTCGTAGGGAGGGCAGAATGTAGTCATTTAAGGCACCAGAATTGGAAATTTTGGGGCATTGTAAGGTACACGTGGAAGTCCGGAAATTGTAACCTTAGAAAACGAGTCTTTGCGCAGCGCACTGGCATTTGATTTTACGGGACATGTCAGAAGTATTTCGCAAAATCCGAGATTAGATTGCCGAACTAAATCAGCATTGGCCAGTAGTTTTCTGTGCTTATTTTCAGCTCATGGATACTTACTCCGGTTGCTGCAGGGACTTAAATCTGCAATTATTCAAGACGTTCCGATATCGCAACCTCTGAACCGCATTGACGTGGAGGCACTGCAATCAAGTCTGGACATGGCCCAAGAGTTGCCTAGGGTAAGTTTGCCTTTGAATGGCTTGCTGGTAAGGTACTTGGATTGTTGCTAATATTCTTTCTCAGAGTTGGAGGGAGGAGAAGTTGCATACATGAAAGAGCTGATAGATTCATCATAAACATCCGTTCATGTCATCTAGTATCTATTGTGTTATCGCCTAAGGATCATGACATTATCAAGGTGCACTAAATGAACAGATTGTTGAAAGGCATTTCTTTTGTTGAATTTTGGTATCATAATATTTAGTGCTAATAGTTGCATATCCTCAAATTTCAGACGTTGGTCCAAGTGCCAGGGTTGCAAAATCTTCAAGGCTTAATAGATCGCCTCGGAAAACTTGGAGATGTACTTGAAGTGGCTGTCACTCAGTATGGTGATCTACACCTACAAGTCTCGCAAACTATGGTTTCCATCGGCTCCGAGTATCGAAAGCTGAGGGTGCTTGGAGTACGATGTAAATATTCCTCACCAAGCAGATGAAAGTCATTAGATGTTTTACTTCCATATCTGTTCTTTGAGCGAAGTGGATTTATTTCAGGGTACAATATGCATACGAGGTTTTATTAATGTTCTCTCTTTGTTTTGAAATGCTAGTTCTACCTTTACAAATGTTGTATGATATCTACGTTGTCGATCCTGTATTGATGTCTAGTGTGGTTCGTATGACGGGACTGCTGTGGAATTTTGGCAATTTAAAGCCTTTGAGCTACCTCGTATATTCTATATGCTAGAATTCGATCATCTGGAAATTCTTTGCACTTAGTCTTTTGGTTCCTGCTTGTACAGCGGACCCAACTTCAACTGGCTCAGCTTCCAGCTCCGCATCACGGCTTCAGCAAGCCATACAGAAAGGGGAGGCTTCAAGAGTGGTACGTTTATCTGTAATTTCCTTCATAAGGCTGCATTATCGGGTCGCGGATTGAATTTTGTGTGCGAGTCCTGAATACGAAGGGATTGTAATGCTGGACTTCTGTGTTCTATTTTCCCTTATTTCCTTGTAGAAGTTTGATCACGAACAACTATGTAACAATGCATTCACTCTATTGCAGCTCGTAAACATGAAACATTTTGCTAAAAGCTTGCAATGCCACCTCACCAGACCTGATGCAGCTTTTTGCGGTAAGTCTAACTTATGATACGGTTTTTTTAAAAAAGCACGTCTGTTTTGGAGTTCTCTATATCATTGCTGCTTAAGTGTGTTGCAAAGTGGAGAACATATATATTGTTGCTGCTTCTCATCTTTTTTATTAGGTCGAAGACCAGAACAAAAGCATTACATGAGGTCTTTTCTCAGCCTTGTGTAGAACAATGTATCGTTTACAACTACTTCCTGGTGGTAAAATATAAGCGACTTAGTCTATTACCTTACCTTGCAGTGACTAGCAACGCTGATCTGAGATGCTAACCTTTTGCAGGTGTCGGAGAACTAGACTCGTGCCTTTTCATGATGTTCCAATACTTCATTCCAGGGACTCGTCTAACTGACAACACAATTAGTCTTCATTACCGCTTGCCTGTTCTCGATCCTGGTGTTGTTTAAGACATAGAAAAGGATAGAATATTTAGAATTTGGAAGTTGTACATAATTAAACCAATGTATTTCCAGGAAATACAAGGGACTGGAATTTGAAGGTTGTACGATTGTGAGAAGAGTTTAATGATGGATATTCTTGAATGGCTTAATTTCAAAGATTTTGAAGATGTGCATATTAGCAACACAAAAGACAATTCTTAAGCGTAAGAAGTTACATCCCTAGGGTATGTCATGTGATCAGTCACATGGAATGATGTGATCATGAGCTCAATAATGTACCAAGCCTTGAAACGTACTTTTAGGAAGCATATCCAAATAAGTAAACTGTAGCACTTACTCAACACCGCTTTCCAATTAGCTTATATTCTGGGTGGCTACCAAGTCTACTTGCTGCAGACATAGAAAATTAACACAAACATTTTTGATTCATGGTTACAACAAAGATCTTCTAATGAACTAGCCAGGAATTCACTCAAGATCGGAAGTTAAATTTTCTTATTAACAATTCTATTGTACACTTGGTTGCTATTGAAATTTGGTTACAGATGAAAACTAATTTTGAGCTCATGCATATGAAGTAAAGAGTTGTGAAGATAGGGAACATTACGCCATGAAACGGGAGGAGAGGGCAAGCTAATTTTGAAAGAGGATCGAGATGATGGGTTGATGCCTCTTCGATAGCCAGGGGAAAATCCTGCGACGATTTCCTTTTCCATACTAAGTCCTGGTGCCACTCTCTTGAAAGCGGGTAATAAAAACGAACGAAAAGAAATCCAGTGCTTTCAACAAGAACATAGTCGTATTTTCATTCAAATCGGCATCCGTTCATTATGCGAATAAAAACCACGTCCGAGATTGAGACGTAGCAAAACTGATGACTCCAGTCCCTGCCTGCTTTTGCGGAGTTCTTCTAGAGTTAAATACGTACAGGTGGCCTTTTCCGTAATGCATAATTCACTACATACATCACGGTCCACGTTGTCTACTCTATACCTACCCAAGCAATCTAATTCTTCTCTAAATGAACAAGTAGAGTTGCGAGCTTCAGCTTTACGAGTCTCCCATGAAATCAAGACAATTAACTCTAGCCTTCAACGATCAGTATGAAAATAAAATAGCAATTGTGCTTTGAGCCATGCCCCTCGATCTGACATTTAGCTCGGTAAAATGTGGATGACTTCGAATACAAGATTCCTTCGTACAGTGACTTTTTCCTAGGGCAGTTCCAGAATGGAGTTGCAAATTTTATCATGTTGGACTGAGAATATGTGAGCTGTGTGCAGGATACTACACTGACTTTGGTGGTTTAAATCAAAAAAGCTAAACAAAATGTTTTATGATCACAACACACATATCCCAATCGAACATTCGTACACACCACATGCAAAAACTTATCTCAAAGGAATAGACGAATTCAACCACATCAAGTCACTTCCATTGTAGTGCCAATGTTCGAACTGCGCCAACCTCCATGCAAACTCAAATAACAAAAAAATTACTTACCTCCAGGTCAATTTATTGTTGACGATGATCTAATTCCTCACCAACAAGAACTATAGAAATAATTACACATAGAACTATTAAGTGCCGGTGATTGCCAGGGTAACATGCGATTGCGAACAGGTACATTCCGTTAAGCAATCTAACGGCAGCCACATCTTTCGAGCAATGTAAAGGTCTGGATCTAAATGGCGCTAGACTGTTCCACCATTTAATAGGTGTGTGTGAGAGATGGAGAGAGAGAGAGAGAGAGAGAGAGAGAAATAGAGAAAAGAGAGGTTCGATCAGAGGCCCTCCCACCATTGCGTTGCAGAAGACACAAAATCAACTACCAACATGTGCACAGCTCCCATCTGACAAGTCCGACGCCTCCTCGTCCTCATGAACAACAAACACAATCACCGGCTTCTTCGTGTTCCACAAAGCATGCAAAAAACCCGAAACAGAGAGCCACAGAAATAACACGAACCTGAATCATATCATCATAGTTCCTTATCCACCGGCTTCGTTCTCGAAGTCTAGTAGATTATCGCAAGAGCAAAGCTCACATTCCAAATCACACGCTCAAATTCTCTCCAGCGGCTCACGCTTGGAAAGACACCAACCCGAAACAGCCTTCATCATTCACGGGCAATTCAAAAAGCTGTTACATTGGTAAGGTGGAGATGTTAAGTTAGAAATTTAAATCAACAACAAATGACTGTGAATTGTATAATTCTTACGGTATATCAAGCTGTTAAATATTTTCAATATAACAAAGCTTATGAAAACAAACATGTTGTTTGCTATACGTAAATAAAAGAAAACCATTTTTTTGCTACATATGTATATTTACAATATTCTAATAGATTCTGAATAATCAACAAATTAGACATAGCTTCTTATGTTATATGAATATGTAATAATCAATCACCAAATCTCTTAACATTTTGTTGCTTAATATTTTGATATCATGTAAGTACCAAGAGGTGCTTCTTACAGATATTACTTTAAGATCTCAAAATTCTCAAGAAAAGATTTTTCTACTTAATTAAAATTTAAAATAAAAATAATAAAAGAAAATAAAAATTTGATGTTTGAATAAATCATCTACTTTATCTATTTAGTTCAGTATCATATACATAACTAAATAGATAACTTATAACTTATATTAATGTAACTTATTTACTTGTGACTTATATTAATGTAAAAATGTATATTAAATACTCTTATAAAATATTTATTTGGAAAATAATAAAAAATTATCAAACATAGAATAAAAGAATAATAATATTAGAAAGTCTTCATATTGATTATAATTTGATCTTGACATTGATTGGATATTAAATATTTAATTAAATAGAAAATATTCATATATATATATATATATATATATAATTTGATTATTTAAAATAAAAATAGTCAAAGTATTAAAACAAACTTCAAAATTAAAATATAGTTGATATCTATGTTTTTAAAATAAATTATATATATATATATATATATATATACATATATATTATTTGTTTTAGTTGCCTATGTGATAAACTTTTGTTGCCACATAGTTCACATAAGAGATATAAAATACTTAGTAAAAATAACACATTCTTGATTGAAATACTATTGTATAATAAATCAATATAATATTTAAAATATTATAATTTATATTTTCCAAATAATAGAAGAGATTTAAAACTCTCTCTCTCTCTCTCTCTCTCTCTCTCTCTATATATATATATATATATATGGATTAAAACAAACAAGTATGACCTATATTTGCAAATAGAAGTTGTTTATAGTAGATATCAAACTAAGATTGTAAGTTTTAGTTGCATAAGTTATCAATTGTATGTTAGACAAATATTAGCTATGCAAGATATCATTTCAACATATCAAATAACAATCCTCTAAAATTTTAGGACTTAATACTTAGTAGTATTGCCATGGTGGTGGAAAAAAAAAAAAAAAAAAAAAAAAAACTTGCTAGGATATAAAGGCTTGTGCTTTTGTAGCAAAGAAGGAGAAATGAAAGAATTTAAGTTTTATAGAATGTTTCTTTGCATCACAATCTTTTTGGTTAAAGGTTAAACTTAAGCATCTTCTACTATTGCTTGCTAAATTTGTGTTTGTGTAAAATTGAGATCTATTGCTCATAGAGGGTCTTAATGTTATTGTTGTGTATTACAATTTGCATTTTTATACTATTCTTATTAAAATTTATTTTTTTCTTATTATATTTGTTAAATTATATATTTAATGTAGGATTATTTTCTAAAATTTGTAGTCATTTTATCCATAACGGTTGTTGGAATAGCTTAGAATAACCATCTCTATGCAACCTTAGGTTTGTAGAACAATTTTTTATAAAATGTTAAAAAAAAAATGAAATTAAAAAAAATTAAAAAATTACAAAGGTTTTTGACAACCGAATATATATAGAATAGTTAATTCAGTTATTATTGTATTTTCTTATATCGTAATTTAATAGCTAATTTATTATTTTTATTATGATTTTTGTCCAAGTTTTTATTTTGCAGTATTTGAGCAAACACTTAGAGTTATTGAGCAGTAACCTAGTGCAGATTGCTTTTCTAATAATTCTTGTCTAAGCTTTTGATTGTTATTATTGTAATTCAAATACAACCCAATGCACATGTCAATCAAGGCTGTCACAAAGCATGCTGAAACACTTTACCTCATTTTAAGTTTTACAGTTGGACCTTAGAAGTTACTCTTCAAAACTTAGAAATCTCCTTTTGATTCCCTTCCAAGTTGGATCTTAGAGGTTAATCTTGACAACATGAAGTCTCCTTTCGGCTCCTTCAGGCTCCCTTGGTAACGATGTTGGTGATGTACCAATGTATTGGGGTGCTTATTGCCATAAGTTGTCCACGAAGTGTTTCATTGAGATACGAAGGGTTGCTCATTAGAGAGACAGGAGTAGAGGTTATCACACATCAGCTTGATCTGTGGATAATAATGGACTTGCTTGTGCCTTGGGGCTTTAAGTAAACATAATACACTGATAAAATAACAATACCTCCACACTCTACAGGCTCTTCTCCTGGGAGTGAGACTTTCATGCAGAAGATGACACTCCTTTAAAAACCAAACATGTAGACTAGGGGGAAAAAAAGTAGAAAAAAAAGATGGTCTACGATATCACCCATGCTTTCAGTTATAGAAGAAAAAGAACCTAAGTACATCTAGCAATGATGCCTACTTGCACATCACAGGGTGTCGAAAAAAATAGCCAAAAAATTATAGAAATGCGTATATTGAGGAGCATTACTCTAATGACTGCCTCTCGTTCTGCGACAGCTTCGCTTCAGCATTTGCAGTAAGATTGGAACTCGTCAGCGCAGGAGACTGCTCGGAATTGGACAAGCTAAAAGAAGCAAGCAGTAGGCCTGCTGCTGAGCCTCCAGCTACAGAGGCCGTGGTCACAGCAGCGGCCACCGCTGGAGCGGTCCTGACTGTCAAGGAAGACCACATGGCGGCGACTGCTGAAAGAACTGCAAACAATCTCCGTCGGCGTGAACTACACACTGCCGAACGAACTAGCAATGTTGCCTCCAGAAAACCCCTCAAAGAAGCTCCAACCCCTCCACCTTGATCTTCCTTCGTCTGCAACAGCCTTCAAGCGCGAAATAACTCGAAAGTTATCTCAGAATCCGGGT